GCATTGTGGATGACGGTAGTGAGAGACAGAGACGGATGGAAACTATGCTGGGGCCTGCACGACGAGTGAAGACAAGCCATCTAAGTATCTAGTAAGTAAGTATCATGACTCTCGTTTTCTACGCAGCATATCATACAACCCAGCAGAGAAATTTCAGGATATTTGAAACAAGCTTTGTGCCTATGCCAATAGCGCTTCACATTAACGTTGAAGCGACCTAAAATTAAATCGGAATTTTACCATGGTGTGCGAATTGGAAAATCCATTTACAAGAAAAATTATAACTTTGAGCTATCTTGTTAAATTGAACTCTTGGTTTAGAAAAGATATGGATGCAAAAGATTTATCATAATCAATGGACCTTTTTTTCGGAACACTCATTATCACGTATTCAGAAAGGTGAAGCTGGCAATACTTGTAAAAGATCCGGTATGATGATCGGCTGTCAATACTCTTAGCGAATTATTAAGCATATGTGATAACTAGGAAAGCCTCAGAGATATCTCAGAAATCCTTTCGAGGTTTGGGCTTCATCATAACTCCAACTCGTGAAGAGGCCTAATTTATTTCTCAAACATAGAACTACAATTCAACTGCGACAATGTCTACTCCAACGTGGCCTTGATATCCTTCCATTGCTTCCCAGCATTTACCTAAAAAAAAGGTAATTACTCTCTCACCGAAATTCTGTATGGTGTACTAATTTCCTAACAGAAACTCAAAGAAGATAAAAATCATTATCTAAAGAGAAAAGCCGTCTAAAGAAGAAAGTAGTACATTAAAGTTTCTCATTACATTAGGCACCACTCTAGTTAAGAATAAGCAGATAATTTGCGAAAAACATGCAAAAGAAGAGAAGAATGCTTTACTCACCCTATCCCAGAAACCATCAGTAACAGCGTCAAAGGTGTAGTTCATGAGAAAGGCACCAAAAGTTGCAGCAAGGAAGAGCGTGGAGAAACGCCGCGTCACATTTCGGTATACTATAGAACCAATCGTCATGCTCTAAAAGTCAGTCAGGAAATCAAAAATAAATGCAAATTGTTTGTACTTTTTAGAGAAAGAAGTGACAATAATGAGGTATACTGTATAATTTATCTAAACGGAAAAGTGAAGAAATCAGATAAAATAGCGACGGACTTTTCCAGCACTCAACTGAAAACGAACTGATATCAATGACGCGCAAAGAGACAAAATATGAAAGGAAATACGGATAAGGTAGTTAAATTTTGTATTTTTATTAGCTAAAG